CATGAGACAAGTGCTCGGGCCTGGTGCACTGGGAAGACCCAGAGGGATCGGGTGGAGAGGGAGGTGGGAGGGGGGACTGGGATGGGGAGTACATGTAAATCCATGGCTAAGTCATATCAATGTATAACAAAAACTACTGTAATGATGTAAAGTAATTAGCCTCCAACTAATAAAAATTAAAAAAATAAAAATAAAAAAAATAAATAGTAGATACAAAATACAGGATTAGTGACTGGAAGAGAAGTTATTTCAACTAGATATAATAGGAGTGACCCAATGGCAACAAGAGGAAAGAAATAATTCCTCCAGGATCAAGAAGAGAAGCTCAAGATGGCAGAAATAATAATGGTGCCTTTAAGGGTCTATCTGTAATTCTGCCATGTCTTCAAGTATGGCCACAGTGTAATCCAAAGCTATTAAAATAAACCAGGCCATGCTATCCCCTAGAGTCTGTGCCTGAACTCTCCTGTGCAGTGGTCTAGATTAGCTGTGATTCTAATTTACCTTTGTGGATTGCACTGTGGGGGACAAAGAGGAAGAAAAGCAGGGAACCATATTTTATTTAAAAGGCATTAAGGATAGAAGTAAAACACTTACCAAAATTGTGACAAGCTGTTTTTCTTCACAGTCTTCAATTACATCTATATTTAACTTCTCTTTAAATTTCTAAAATGTAAAAGCAAAGGAAGTGTGAAATTCCTATAAAGTCGATGTCTATGTGATTACTTTACTCTTAAAATCAGTTAAAATAAAGCATGCTGTAATGAGTTCCATGACAAAGTGCCATACAAAGGCCTACAGCACTTGATTATGTAGAATTTTCTCTAAAAAACAATCTTTCTTATCCTCCAAAATGTAATAGCAGCTGTCTCAAAGAGAAGAGGGAGGGAGACATTGATAGTTCACACATAGGCGAGAAAAATGAGTGGCTTACATCTGTTTTTCTATTAGTTTATAGCAATTTCCCTGTATCTCCCCAGACATTTTCATCTTCAACATATTGAATTCTCAAATTAAATTTCTTTTACATCTCAAACAACCCAGCAAAAACAAACAAAAACACCCCAGGAAAACTATACCACACATACTCTGAAAGCTAGGGAAATAAAGGAATAGAGATCATGGGTGTGTGATATTTCCCCTTTGTTTGGTGGTGATTAGTACACTTCTAGCAAGTATCTTAGAGAAGGAAATGGCAATCCACTCCAGTATTCTTGCCTGGAGAATCCCAGGGACGGCGGAGCCTGGTGGGCTGCCATCTACGGGGTCGCACAGAGTCGGACATGACTGAAGCGACTTAGCAACAGCAGCAAGTATCTACTGGTTCCCCAATCATCCATGATGTTGACTTGGTCATGTTTGTACACTGAAAATTTTAGTGAGTGTGATATGAGGGAAGACTGGAAATGAACTTGCACAGCTGGGCTTGCAGTCTGGCACTTGTCATCACCATGAGAAGAACATCTATAAGGTAGCTGCTGATCAAGGATGACAGATGCAGAGAGCCAATCAAATGCACAGCTTACAGCCCAACCAAGATCTGTTGAAGCCTGGTCAACCCACAAATGCATGAGAAATAGATGCTTATTGTCACATACAGCTGAGAGAAAATGGTTGTTATACAGTATTACATGGCCAACAGCTGACATTTCCCTCCCTGCAAATATTTTTTTCTGTGCTAATATTCCAATCTAGACCTAACTATTCCAGCTCCTACAGAGTTATTTTTAACAAAGAGCTGTTCCAGCCAAGCAGCCTGGACATTGGGTAAGGGTCTGTGTACTGTGAACCACCCAAATTCTCCCTGACCCCTCCTTCTCTGAATCACCGTCCTCAGTCCAGGACTAAACTTATTCTCCTTTGTCAGACCTCTGGGTACTTAGGTGAATTCCAGAAGCCATGGTTAAACAGTATCTAATGTCCATAGGATTGAATTCCTCACTTACCAAAATAGACTTGATTTCATCAGGCGTAGCCTTGGTGTGGTTCATGAGCATTTCTTGGGCTATGTCCTTTCTGTTCTCCAGCTTATTCATTTTCTCATAGGTGTCAGTATTTAAAAGAGACCATCCAAGAAACTGTGTGAGAGTCTGAAATTGATAAAACGTCATTCAATTCTCTAAAATTAAAGGAAAATTGATTTGGAGGCAACAGTCTGCATGCTTTCCTATCCATCAATCTCTCTTCCCCCATTAAAAAAACCCAGCTGTTTTAATCTAAGAAAAAAATACTAATAGTCAGCGTCAGACAATAAAATTGGCTAAGCCCTTGTTTTCAAAGTGCTTCATGCACCATGAATACTTTATTAGAGGAGGGGATGACCAAAATCCAATCAGATAAAGCATGACTTGAATCAGAGAGGGCTGGGGGTGACAGCAAGGAGGAGAGGGGGGAAAGGGGGGGAGTGGGAGAAAGAGAGAGAGAAACCTTTTCCCCAGTTTCCTAGTACTGCAAAGAATTTTGATTAAGTCAAACATTCACACTTTGGTAGAAAACAGTGCAGTTTTATGGAAATCAGGAAACAGAAATGACACAATAACAACATATTGACAGCAACCGTGTGTGACTCACGTCTTAATTACCCTTTGGAAACATCTTTCCAGAATAGCAATTATGCATCCTCTATTCATGAATTTCATCTCCCTCCATTATTTTATAATTGCACTCACCTCAGCAATGTGCTCATCATATTCATCAAAAGGCTTTCCATCCTTCCTGTTGTAAAATGTAGCTACACCCACGATGTCTTCTTTTTTGTTGACAATAGGCAGGGACAAGACATTTTTAATGACCCAACCAGTTTCATCTACAGGTCCTTTCTACAAACAAAAAAGACACAGGTTATTTTTCAACTTTTTATTTTGAAATTACTATATATCCACAGGATGTGGCAAGAGAAATGTACAGAGAAATCCCATGTGCCCTTTACCCAGTTTTCTTCATGGTATCATCTTGTGCCACTAAGGTACACTAGCAAAACCAGGGAATACATATTGGTATGATAAATGGAGCTTATTCAGATTTAACCAGATTTATATGTATTTGTGCATGTGTGGGGGTGTGGAGGGCTGTTTTTATGCAAATTCATCACATATGTAGCTATGTACAATGTTCCTGGAATTGAGAGAATTAATCCATCACTACTGGGATCACTGGCACTGCCCCATTATAGCCATACCCTTGCTATCCCCCACTTAGGTTGCTTTCAATTTAGACAAAGAATAATTTGGGGGTGTTAGATGCACAATTCCTATGCTGTGACAGAAATGGCTAGAAGTATACAGTCATAAAAGCACTCTTGTACATTTGACTAAGTATCCTAGAACCAAGTGTCTGTATTGTGACAACCCTACCCTCTTCTCTTTGATCCCCTTCCCAGCCCTAGGATGGGAAGCATTTACCTCTATTACCTCAGTGTTCCCTGTTCACTTTTTCTGTCCTCCAATACCTATCTAGCTAATTCCTTAAATTCTGTTGAAACACCTAATGTGGTTTCTGTTTTCCTGACTGATCTACCAAGATCATCCTTTGTTCTGTAGTGTGGTTCCATTTAGTAAACATCTGTCAAGTCCCGTGATGTTTCAGGACCTGGGTTAGCTGCTGAGGTGCAGAGATGAAGAAGTCACAGTTCCCAACCTCGAGATAACAGTTTGTTAGGGGATGCACACACACAGAAGTTCAGGAGTGCTTCTCAAAGTGTCGGCCAAGAATCAAGGGCAACAGATTTTTCTTTTTTAGCCTTTTTCACAAATTTCCGGGAGCGTGTCTTAAATAAGCTCCCCAGGTGATTCTAAAGTCCTCCAAAATCTGAAAACCATCGTGTGGCACCTGCACAGTACGCAACAAGGCAAAGACAGCCAACTCCCCAACACACCACACTGCTCCTTCTTCTGCCAGCTCTCAGCTTCTTTACTCATCCTCGGAGATGCAGGTTAAGTCTCACCTCTCCCAGAAAGGCTTCTCTAGCTTTTCACCCACGTGGAACTTTCCTTTTTCAGAATTCCATCAGCACATTTAGCCTGGATCATACAATGTAAGTACTTTCCAAATGCTTTGAACTGTTGGTTTTTGTCTCTGAGGCTATTTTCTAATCTTACCAAAGAGCAGTTCCATAAACTGTTCAATTTTACCTAAGTAACGGGACAGTGCTGGGCATATAAGGGATGCTCAATAAACAACTGCTTATTAGTTGAAGAGCTTCTCTTATACTTGGAATGAAAAGCAAAGAAACCAAGCCTCAATTGATGCTTCCTAATGGTCGAAGTTCTGGAGGAAAAAAGTAGTGCACTGTCGTTCTCAAAGTCTTAAGTTTTGGAAAATACTATGAAACATTTATATAATTATACCTTCACACGGATGAGAGACAAAATCAATAACAGAAAGTATTACCTGTGTGCAAAATAACCTCACAACCATAAGCACCTGGGTGTACACATATTTTTAAAAGCTTCCAAAATAAGCTTTACTGACTGCCTCTGTTTTTCAGTACTTATTCATTACCTGTTCATGTTCATGTGTTTTGCTATTAAGTTAGAGCTTGTTCACAGAAAAGTGATCAGAGGAACTTAACACTTAAGAAAAGTACGACAAAAACTTGAGACTGAGAAAATTCTATGTACTTTTTCTTCTGTGAATTGGGATCACTTTAATTGATGTTAAAGGAAGAAGCCCCTATTTCACTTCAAGGAACACCTCAAAGATGTCTACTTGCCAATGCCTGGAATCTGTGAACAAGTTACTTTATGTGGAAGGAGTATTAAACTAGCAGATGGAATTAAGGTTATTAGTCAGCTGATTTTAAAATAGGGAAATTATCCTGGATTTTCCAGGATACAAAATGGACACAATGTAATCACAAGGATCCTTACAAGTAGAAAAGAGAGTCAGGGTCAAAAATCAGAGAGGGACATATGACAATAGTGGCAAGGTCAGGGCAACGCGATGCTGGTTTTAAAGGTGGAAGGACACCACGGGGCCAAGGCTGCCTCTGCTGCTAAATCCCTTCAGTCGTGTCCGACTCTGTGCAACCCCATAGACAGCAGCCCACCAGGCTCCTCCGTCTATGGAATTCTCCAGCCAAGAATATTGCAGTGGGTTGCCATTTCCTTCTCCGAGGCTGCCTCTAGGAGCTGGGAAAGACAAGGAGGCAGGTTCTCCCCCACATTCTTAGAAAGGAAATCATTCCTGACAATACCTTGAATTTTGCCCAGTGTGACCCATATTAGACCTCTGACTCCAGAACTGTAAGATAACTCAGTTGTGTCACTTTAAGTCACTGAGCAGTCATTGTTATGGCAGCAACAGGAAGCTAATACCTCATGCCACCAAGGAACATAGTTTGAGAACCACTGCATTTGCAGGTTTGCTCTGACCATAGTTCACTTTGAATCATTGGTTTTTCCATTACACTTCTCAGGTGCAAGAGAGACCACTGAGAATGGAGGTGGGTGTGAGCAGATGGAGAGAGAAGGGGAGGCCGGGCAGGGTAGAGGCTTGGGGAGGAGGGGCACCCTATCCTGAGTCTGCCCTTTGGGATGATCCAAAAATGGGGAAATGGAGAGGGAGGTTGAGAGCCCTCCAAGATGTAGTCCTGACCCCAGTCCAAGGACAGAGGGATGGATGGAGGGCTGGGCGGGAGTGTCTTAGGCCACAGCGCAGTTCTGAAAGAGTTTGCAGGGCTGAAGGGGATTCCTAGGACCCATGGTCCTGGTCGGAGAACTCTGGTGTCTCCCAGGAACAGGCCTGTGTTAGTATCCCAGGTCCTGGAAGTGGAGCCTCTGGCCTAACAGTGGATTTCTGGGCCCAGCAGCCATTGGACGGTCATCCTTCCCACAGTCAAAGGCCTGAGATGTTTCTTGTGGAAGCTGGGAAATTCCTATGGGCTGGAGGTTTACCCCAGGTGAGTACCCAACTTCCTCTGAACCATCAGAGCCTTGTATGGCTGCTCCCATGGAAGCCACATGAGGCCCACCAGAAAGCACAGGCCCTCAAACCTCAGAGCACAGCTTGGTTCTTCTGGGCCAGCTCCTGCCCTCCCTGTCCAGACAAAGACTGCTTAAAGTTCAGGCACCTTACAGAGTCCATGTCCCCTTCTTCCTGCCTGTGCACCCTTTCCTGGCATGCAATTACCATAAAGAGGGGCCAGGGGTGGGCACAGTGTGGTCACACTCAGGCCTTCAACTACAAGGAGGAAGGAGCTGGAACAAGGACTCTGATGGTTCAGAGGAGGCTGGGCACTCTCCTAGGGTAAACCTCCAGCCCATAGGAATTTCCCAGCTTCCACAAGAAACATCAGTGCAGTGCCTGTAAAAACACACTTCTCAGGCCTCTGATTGTGGGAAGGATGACCGTCCAATGGCTGCTGGGCTCAGAAATCCACTGTTAGGCCGGAGACTCCACTTCTGGCCCTGGGATACTAACACAGGCCAGTTCCTGGGAGGCGCCAGACTCCTCCAACCAGCACCACGGGTCCTAGGAATCCTCTTCGGCCCTGCTAACTCTTTCACAGCTGCATGGTGGCCTGCGTGTGGTGTCTGCGTGTTTCCATGTCATCGAGCAGAAGAATGAGTGGGGAGAACAGAGGGAAACCTGCCCTGAAACTGAGCAAGTGGCCGCAGGTTCTTCCGGCCTGAGGAAACACCCCTCACTCTCTGCCCCCCACCCCAGGCCGCCTTCACCCTGGTGTGGGCAGAGAGGGGGCTCTGTGGGCATGTCTGTGTAGATAGGAAGACAGCCGCTAGTGGTCCCCACTGGGAAGGCTGTCTCTATTCCTGACTAGACAGGTCTCCAACCAGACACGCTTGTTAAAACAGGACACAGAACAGCAGGGGCTAAAAGACAGAATAGGAGAGGCTGCGGGGCCAAAGGCCAGGTTGTCCCAATGGTCAGGTGGGGAGAGGGTGAGAGAGGGGACAGGTAGGGATGGGCACCTCTGGATGCTGAAAGAGGAAAAATTAAAACCAAGAGTCTGATAGCATGGGGAGCCCCCAAGAACCCAACAGGAAGCTTCTACCCCTAACAGCAGTGATAAGCCGCTGGAAAGGGTCTGCGAAAACTGTGGAAGGCTGAATCCAGGTGGTACGATGTTTTCAGCCAATCACTCAGGCTGAGCGCCATTGACTGAGCGCCTGTGCTGTGCCCAGACTGTTTTAGGCACGAGACGACCAGGGATGGGAGAGAACCGAGACGTGACATTCTCCCCGCCAATGCCAGAGTGACAAACACCCTACCTGCTTCTCTCATCCCCCTTTCTCTTCTCCCCCTTCTTCTTTTTTCACCTGAGGAACGGGCTACGTGGTGGCCAGCCAGGGTGAGCAGGACATAAGCCCTGTGCGTGCTTCTTGGTCCCCCCTGAGCACCAGACAGACTCTGGGATGGGGGGCGGGGGGCAGGGCCACCCCAGCTCCCTGCACTGACGGGGGTCGGGGGAGGCGCGGCAAAGGGCGGTTACCTGAAACGTGAAGTATTCATCGGCTGGGGCGTTCAGCATGTTGCAGATCTGGAAAGCAAACAGAGCCATTAAACCCAGACCAGAAGGAGAAAGGACGTGGGAGCAAAAGATTCCTCCCTAGGCCTCCAGCGCTCGCAGGCACATTATTCACTCCGGGCCTGGCGAGACTAAATGAGCTAACAACACACTGAAGTTAAGACAGATGGGCACCGGCCCTTAACCAGAGTGCTTACGTCTGAGAAAACATCTCCTCCAGCAACAGGATACAGAGCAACTCTAAGGGACTAAAAATAACTGCATGCACACCCAGTTGGGGCAAAATGTAAACAGTAAGATACAAAAAACGTCACAAACCAGTGGCCATTTCTGAGGTGTGGGGAGCAAAATCACTGACTGGGCACACAGCATAGCCAAGGGGGTGGGCGGACCCTCCGGCCCAACCCACCAACCCGCCCCAACCTCTCCCTAGTTAAGGCACCAGCTCGCCCCACCCAGGGAGCAACCTGTTTCTTGTTTTTGCTCCCTCCTGCCCGCAACAAGAGTGCCAATAAAGCCTTGCCTGAAGTCCTCCTCTGGCCTCTGACCAATTGCGATTGATTAAAGAGCCGGAGAACCTGCGTGGGTAACCGTTGGCTTCTCTTCTACTAAGTAAGCCATTGGATGATGTTTAGCCCCATCTCTGACCCTCCCTACTCTTTCTGCCTCTAAGGAATCTACTTCCAAATTCAAAGCAACTAGCTGTTCAGACCAGGGAGAGGAGGAAGCTTAGCAGAAAGGCCTGGCAGGTGTGGCAGCAATTCTGGGAAGACTCTATTTTCTCTCCTTTTTTTTTTTCTTTTCTGATGTGGGATCCAGGTTGGAAGGTGGTGGTTAAGGGCTGGAGGAAAAAACCAGACAGCGTTTTAGGTACACCAGAGTAAATATTCACTACGAGACATGGCTTTAAGTACTAAATTCAGAGACGATTGCTCATATCCATAAGGACAAGGAGTCACTCTATTTTTGTTCATTTTGAATTATTCTTCTATCAGGTCAGACCCACAAATGGGTCTTAATAAAACACAGTATCTTTCTTCTCACCAAAATTAAATCAGATACTTTAAATCATAGCATTTTAAAGTTAGAAGGCACTTTAATAATTGTTTAAGCTTTTCTTTCCAAAGGTGGGAAACAGAAGCCCAAAGAGGTTAAGTGATTTTTTTTAATGGGATAACAGGAGAACTGAGCTTTCCAGTGAGGGTGCTGTTGGAATCACCTCTCCTGGTGTTGGTGTTGAATGATGCCCTAATTTGCATCATTCACCAATTTCCATGTTGTAAATACACCCACCAGGGGGGGTTTCAAACTGACCTGGGATTAACAGGTTGCTCACCAAATTCCTGAAAATGGAAAGTAGGGAGCCAGCTTCTCCATCTATCTACTAACTCTACCGGCCCCTCCGCCTAAGGGAAGTGCTGTCTGGGAGTGGCTGAGCCATGTCAACCATTTTGCCCCCTTACTCTTAGAAAGCTGAAGTGCTGTGCTTAGTCACTCAGTCATGTCCAACTCTGCGACTCCATGGACTGGAGCCCTCCAACCTCTTCTGTCCATAGAATCTTCCAGGCAAGAATACTAGGCTGTCATTTCCTTCCTTCTCCAGGGAACCTTCCCGACCCAAGGACTGAACCTTCATCTCCTGTGTCTCCTGCATTGCGGGAGGATTCTTTACCCAAAGACTCTTACAAAGCAAATGTGACTATCTTTCAAAGCTTTTGTTAGTATATCAGCCTAAGAATTTAAGGAATCACTATCCATTAATTTTATGATCCAGTCTGAATAAAAAACATGAATTGATTGGCTGAGCATCCTTCAGGTGTGTGTCAAAGAGACAAAAAGCAGCTTAATTCTCTTTTCTGAGCTTACCATCAGCAGTATCTATTTTGGTCCAGGCTTTTCGGCCTTTAGAGAATATCTATAGGTGGATCAAGGCACTTGAGGCCAAGCTTTTTTTTAACTCAGTATTCAAATATTCAAAAATCTTCTCTACCCTCCCCATCTCTCTCTCTAAGTTTACAGATCATTTTGATTCTAACTTGGTTTGATCCTGCATTTCTTGCTTCAATTCTACAAATGTAATTCTAGAAACTAATTTTCATTTTCTAATGTTTTTAACTCTAAAAAGTCAGTCAAATGAAGTCTAATGTTTCTCATTCAGAGCTGGGATTTACTGGTTTAATGAGACCTCTGGGCATGTGTTCCCTAAATTCAGCGAGGTCCAATAGACAGGCCTCTGGGACAGCTCATCCAAAAGCCTGCCTTTATTACAAGGGGTTTGTGAAAAAAATATCAAGGGAAAAGTTTGAAAAGCTAAATGGAAAAGTTTCAAGCAATTTGGAGGAACATCATAATTACAATTAAAACTCCAGATCATTTTTATTTTCCAGAAAATAGAATTGAGAGATTTTTCAGTATTTCATTTTTTAAATAAGTCAACAATCTCATTTTACAGATGATGATGTTAAAACCCAGACAGGTCAAGGAATTTGCCCAAGGTCAAGGATTTGCCATGGGATTTGCCCAAAGCAGGACTGAGTCATGGCATTCAGGGATCCTGAGTCATGGCTGTTTGCTCTCTTTACTAGAACCCACCAGCATATCACAGGAGGCCCTCACAAATAGCACTGCTCTGGCTGGGTCTGCTGAAATGTTTGATATCATCCTCTAGACCAGTGCTTCTCAGTCAGGGGTATATTATCCTCCTGAGGACATTTAGCAACTTCTGAGACGTCTGGATTCTCACAAGTAGGGTGGTGCTTCTAGCATCTAATGGGCAGAGGGCAGGGAGGCTGCTAAAAACCCTACAATGCAGAGACAGCTCCTCACTACAAAGAACTAGCCCACAATGTCAGTAGAGTCCACAAGTTTGAGAAATCCTGTTCAATACACAGAAATTATGTTTTTAACAGATCCTGCCTTTTGAAATATATAGTACAGGGCGACATCTGGGAGTGAAAGGGAAGACTTAAAAACTCACAAGGACAACAGTGTAAAGGGAGGTTGTCCCATACAAACTAGGATGTATGTTCACTCCAATTCTGGAGTCTCCAAAAATGGCTCAAGGTCAGTTCTCTGAAAATCATTTTGGGAATGCTAACTTGTCTAATGAAGGACTTGACGAGAAATGTCTTACACTAGATTTACTCCATTTTGCCGTCAGTCTTGGGCTGCCAGCAGAAAGGATATAATATCAGGGGTGGGGCCGAGGGCAGGAGCGGAGAGGTGAAAGGGAGCAGTAAAGCAAATGCAGTGAATCTGTGACAGAAACAAAATCTGGAGGGAAAAATCCTCCACAGCTTTGGGAATCGATTCTGGCAAGTTGGTTACATGGCAAACTGATGAGGTGGCAAATGAACCATTCAATGAATTGATTTTTGGTGCATTAGTTTTCTGCAAATTGATTTGTGGACAATAAAATCTTTACCTGGGAAACATCTAGGAGAGAAGAGATGTTTAAAAAGTGGGGCAAAATAAAAGTGCCATTTACAGCAACATGGATGGACCAGGAAATTATAATACTAAGTGAAATAAGAAAGAGAAAGACAAATATTATATGATACTGCTGATATGTGGAATCTAAATGGTACAAATGAACTTATTTACAAAATAGAAATAGAGTCACAGATGTAGAACACAAACTTATGGTTATAGGGTGGAGGTAAATTGATGGGTTGGGATTAACATATACATTCTACTATGTATAAAATAGGGCTTTCCGCGTGGCACTGTGGTAAAGAATGCCTACTAATGCAGGAATTGCAAGAGATGTGGGTTCCATCCCTGGATGGGGAAGATCCCCTGGAGGAGGGATGGTAACCCATCCTAGTATTCTTGCCTGGAAAACTCCATGGACAGAGGAGCCTGGCTGGCTACAGTCTATGGGATGGCAAAGAGTCAGACACGACACAGAAACTGAGCACACATACATGACATAGGTAACAGGGACCCTCTATATAGCACAGAGAACTCTACTCAAATACTCTGTAATGACCTATATGGGAAAAGAATCCAAAAAATGGATGTGTGTACAAGTGTAACTGATTCATTTTGCTGTCTGGCAGAGACATTGTAAATCAATTATACGCCAATAAAAAAAATTTTAAGTGGTGCATAAATTCCTTTAAACCAGCTGTGGCAACTTTGGGAGTACCAAACTTGATAAAAACCCTAAATGGAGTTTGATAGATGGGCTGCCAGGAAACCAAAGGACAGAGGCCAAGGGCCAAGCTACTTGGCTATTTCAGTGAGGCTGAAAAATTGTGGTATCTGCGGATTCAGTTAGGAATGGATTGGAATAGTTTGGTCAATACCACCAGGTCAGGAATGACATTTAAAAATATTTCAATTATATAATAAAAAAAGGGAATTCCCTGGCGGTCCAGTGGTTAGGACTCCACACTTTCACTGTTGGGGATCAGGTTCAGTTTCTGATCAGGAACTAAGATCCAGGCAAGCTGTGTGGTTTGGCAAAAAAAAAAAAAAAAAATTCAATTATTTCTAACATTTGTTAGTATATATCTCTGTTTACTCTTAAAAGACATAAGATTGTCTTTCCTTTTTCTTTTCTTCCCCTTTGACATGTCTCTACACTAAGAGATCATGTCACTTGGTGAGGTCACTTTGTCCTGTAACCAACTAAGCCCAGAGTTAGGCATCCTCCCTGAAACCCTAGGGTAAAGCATCACTACATAGAAAGATTACCTTGCAGTCACAACAGAATTTTCCTTACTCTGTCACCATTCTGAATCCAGAAATATTCACACTAAGCAGAGGCAAATTTGTGACAGTAAAAAAAAAAAAACATTAAACAACCTAAATTTTGTTTTACTTCCCCTGTGAGCCCTGAGTCACTGTAATTCACATGCTCATTTACTAAATAATGAAGATGCATGAACACAATGACAACACTAAAGAAAAAAACAACTATGCAAATACATGCTATAAAAATATTTTTTTGGAAACTTGAGTTTGAAGGGGGAAAAGGAAAGATGCCAACACAAAGAAACGTAAAAAACAGGGAACATTCTTGCAGGGAGGTATCTTGAGGCCAAAAAAAATGACATAGATGGTGGAGAAGCCCAACTGGGGAGAGAAGTCAGCCATGAAAAGGAAGGAGAGTGTGGTTAAGGTCAAATGGGAAAGCTACTGGTCCGTGGGCCTTAAGGCCTATGGGACCCACCAGAGACCTCTTGTTTGTTGTCTTCCTACCCCTAACCTCTCAGCCAGACCTGGCCTGCTCCTCCCTCCCACCACACCCCCGCCCCACATGAGAGACTAGGGCAAAAATCTTCACTCCCACTATCAGCTCAATGCATTTTGCATTGCAATCAATGGCAAAGTCTTTTCCTTATATATTTTTTCTTTTTGTCAGTAATTTTCTGAGTTTCAAAAGTCGTGACCAAGGGGAACTATATTTAAGGTCAAATTAAACCCAGCACGAATCATAGTCATGAACTACCAGGATGTCTGAAGTTTGTGTGGCTGCAGAATAAGAGGCTGGGAGATGGATCTGTCTTTCTTGTGTTGACTAAATATTTTTGGGGGAGTCAAGGAGTTTCTAGTTCACATACATTCCGACTGCCAAGATTCTTCTTTCCCGTGTCCTGTGCCAAAGCAGCCATCTCACCCCTACCTGGTGCATTCTTGCCTTCACAATTGTTCCTATCTCTTAGCTAATGAGAGTTTCATCCAATACTATTTAAGATTCAAATTTGTTCAATAACTTACAAATCCATTTTCAGCAACGTATGTTGGCAACCCACTAACGAGAGTCCAGTGGTCCGTGGGAGGTGTCCTTGAGGAAGATGAGAAGAAAAAAAATCATTGCTGTGCAAAGAAATGCACTGGATACAAACACAAAAGGGCAACTCCTGCAGCGGCTTCATGGCAATACTCACGGAATGACTTTGATCTCTTCTTTTCCATGTAAAATGTAATCAATGATTTTATAAAAGATGACTTCCTAAGAGGAAAGAGAGAGATTATGAGAAAAATCTCACCTCCCAGAGAAAACATTTTTCCTTAATGAACTTTTATTTTGAAATTTAAATATTTTATTTCCCAATCACATTTCTTCATATAACATAAATTACCAAACTACTCATGTCCTAATTTACAAGCTCGTGATAAAACTGGAAATATCATTGGCCACTTATCATATGAACAAGACTGCTGAACTAATCTTAGAAAGTTGAATACACCCTAATAACTTCTAGGAGAATCTTTGGCTTTCTTTTCATTTCTACTGTCCAGACATATCTGACTGCTCACTTCCATACAACAAATCATGGAATTTCTCAACCTCAGTCAATGTTTTCCCTTCCCAGCTGTACAGTGCACTTACCCCTTCCAGCACTCTGAATGGGTGCCTAAGAAGCAGGATTCGATGAATATGTTGTCAAAGCTGGAAGGGACTTGAGAACTAGTCTGCTTCTGTGGGCAAATGAAGAACCAAATTCCATCCCCTGCCTTCCCTTTCCTGTATGCTGGGGATACGGTGGTGGAACAAGCTTCCTATGAAACTTCCTATGAAACCTATCAAAGGGGAAAGTAAATCTAAGCCAAACTTTGCCTGGAGATCCCAGTCCAGAACGTCAGAAGAAGGGCCTGGGCAGAGTGTGTTTTTAAAACTATGCAGGAGGCTCTAATGCTCCCTCCTTATGAAGAAGCACTGATCCACCAAACCCTAGCTTCACAGAAAAGACACCTGAGAAGTTAAATGAGTGAAGACAAGGACAACCCAGCTGGTTTGGGGCAGAGCTGAAACTTGAACATCAAACTCCTTGTCCAGTGCTTTCTACTTCTCCAAGGTCCTCCAGGAAGTCCCAGGACTAGAGCCCAGTCCTTTTGGGGCCAGCACTCTTTCCTTTACACATGGCTTCCTCTGGTTTTAGCTCCTGGTAGCTAAAACCAGGCACAGATATCATCAACAAAGACGTCTGCACTCACTCTGCCATCTGGTGTCTTTGGACCTTTGTAAGGCTCGACTTCTCCAAGCTTGACTGGCCACTCATCATAGAATTCCTGGAGGCAAATATATTTAAACACTATTAAGCAAACTGTCCTGTTACCTACCATATCTTATATGAGTGCCATTGGTTTGCATATTTTATGTTAATTTATAATTCTGGAATTTTAAAGCTCTTTTTCAGTAATGCTGTTTATGAACTTGTGACTGTAAACAAGCCAATCTTTTTAATCTGTAAAACGGAGACAATAACAAAATGCATATTACAGAGTCATTATGTGGATTAAATGAATAATACAGAGCACCTACCCTGACACATAGAAGGAGGGAGGGCAAGAGAAAGGAAAAGAACATGTATGGGAACTCTCTGCTTTTCCTGCTCATTTTTTTTCTATAAACCTAAAAATACACTAAAAGAATATGGTCTATTAATTAATTTTTTAAAAAGAAAAAAAGACTTGTTGAAGACACATATAGCTAGGAAGTGGAAAAACCAAGTCTAGATATTTTTCACTCCAAAAAGTACACCTTCCCTTCTTCTTTTCCATGTAAAATATAACTGATGATTTTTAAGTTGACTTTATATAAAAGATGAAAGTACCATACTTTCTTGGCACTGATTCTTATGCTCTATCATGACCGGTAGTTCACATAGTATATCCATTTTTTAATGGATTGCATTTCATGTGATGTGCATTTTATAGGTGGTGGTAGGGGAGACAAAATGTATGGAAGAGTGACCTTCTCCTTGGTCATATCCAGCAGCCCAATGGAGTATCGTTCGCAGTTCAGGTATGTTCTAACAGTGTAGAGCGCTTTGTGAAACTGTCGCTCAACATCTGTGAGCTCTTCAAATATTTTGTTGGCTGACCACATAAGAATCTGAAAGTAGGTATTACAAAGAAAACAATCAGAACAAAATACAGTATGAAGAGGAGCATTAGTCAGAAGAAAACGGGGTGCATCAAATAAAAGGAACACATGTCAGCAAACAATGCAATTCCATTTTTGCATATGTACGTGTCCAACAAACTACTGAGAGTCTCAGAGTGGGATGATGAGCAGACCTTTTGCAAAGCCATGTGTTTATGAAAGCCATGACTGATCCCCATGTCCAAAATGTTTTGGCTCCAATGGGCAAGTAATTTAACACAAATGCAGAGATAGTTCCTGGGCAGAGGGTCCAGCATTGAGGGCCCACTGGTTACTGCTGGCCCTTGTGGGAAGAAAGCCAGCTGACTCCTTCCATGTATCTTGAGCTAGTCAAAGGTTACCTGCCCTGGACAGTTAGCATGGGACAGGGCCTTGGAAGTCCTCTATCCCAACCACCCTCCCACCATTGTACTGATGAAGAAGCCGAGGTCCACAGAGTAGTTCAGCTCAGGTATCCTGGCTACCAATGTTGTTCTTTATCCCTCTGGCTCAAGGAAGCAACAGAGGAGCGACTTGCTTCTCAATGTAGCATCTTCACTATGTACCAGGAATACACAGCTCTGCTAAGAGCTTTATGTGAACGAATTCCCCTAATGACCATTTAATAGTCACAGCAACCAGGTGGGGTAAGTACTGTAATTATCATCGCCACCTCAAAGAGGAAGAAACCACAGCTACCCAGGACAGAGACTGAAGAAAGCAAGCCAGTAGTACCTACAGATGGAGGGGTAGGAAGGTGACAGGGGAGGGGACCATAAGAGGACACTGGGAATGGAAGCTTGGGGATCTGATCCAGGGGGTGTGGTTAGGAAGGATCTGCGCTTGTTGCCTCTGGGGGGTCCCTTTGTCAAACAGGTCAGCATGAAGTAGCCACTGTCACCTTCTCTTTACCTGACTTCTTCGGGATTCAATATTGTACAGGTAGTTGGTATGATGAAACTTAAGGATGATAGAGACAAAGTTGAGGTATTTGGAAAAGACCTACAGATGACGGAGAAAAACAAATTAGGTGTGACATCTTTCTTTCAGTTACACAACAAACAAATTTCCTGAGCCTCTGAAGGGATGCCCGGGGTTAGCATTACCTCTTCATCCTGTTTGGAAAACTCAGATGCATCTACTTTGTTAACTGCCATAAACACAGCAAGAACCTCCTTGCCCATCACGATGGGGGTTGCCAGCAGGTTCCTAGTGACATACCCGGTTTGTTTGTCCATGAAGTCAGAAAAATGGCTGTTCTGAAAGATACATTCACACATTTGCCAAAGCAGCACAAAACCATGAAGTGCAGGTCTAGGAAGGGCAACAGATCATCCTCTCTAGTTCAAGTCCTACCAACAGATGACCAGGGCTGCAGGACAATGGTCCCAAGCCAACAGTCCCCACCCACCCCACCATCTGCAAGCAGACAGAATGAATAAAGCATAGAATGAAATGGCCCATTTCCAAATGAGCTTTCCCACCTGAGGTGTGGCCTATCCGGGTTAGGCTAGGGTTGGGCCAGGAGGAAAGAGGTGATGTTGTGACCAAGTGGAAAGCAAGGTTCTAAGGGGAAGGGAGGGAAGCATGCAGGATTATAACAGGGAGGAAGTGTGTGCTCGAAGGAGAGCACAGCTGGGATTCCATAGGGCTCTTCTTTTTAATTGCAAAAGTAAAATTTGCCCTTGAAATCTCACAACCATCATAACATAAGGAAAAGATTATTAACTGCCCCAAACTCCTCCTAATCTCACCTACCTGAAGAAATCTGTATTACAGTGCTTAGTGTGTCTCCTTTTTTTTTTTTTTTTCTTGTTGTACGCATCTTCTTATTTTTTAATAAAATGTTCTCTCCTAATTTTATGCAATTCATCACTTAACACTATCTTATGGACTTCCCTCCAGACTGGTGCATATGGATGTGAACTAGTTTTCCAGATTCTTGCATGCTATTCCACAGTGTGGGGGCTCCAGTTCTGCTCAACCAATATCTACTGATTTAGTCTGTTTAGAGTTTTCCCCACTGCAAACAATACTGCACTAATCACCCTTGCTTTTATTTTTATGTGATGGAGTCCCCAAATGGAAATGTCTTTTGCAGTATCAACAGGTACGTGAAGTTTTAAATTACACCAGCTACTTTTACAAAATGTTGAAATTCTTACCACCCTCTTGACAGCACCAGATATTTAACAGTTTTTCAAAGTCATTTTCTTTCTTTTTTTTTTAAGTATTTTTATTTTATTTATTTAGGCAGATCTCACTGCATGGCATGTGGATCTTAGTTCCCAGACCAGGGATCGAAACTGTGCCCCCTGCAGTGGAAGTGCAGAGTCCTAACCACTGAACCACTAGGGAGGGCATTTTCTATCAAGTCAATATCTCTCATTTGTAATTTTTATTTCTTTCCTAGAGGAAAATGAAATGGATCATCCTAGATACAAGCTTCAAGTAGAAGACGCGAAGGACGACTCTAATACATTAACCATGTAGAGGGCAGAGTGATGAGTTTGGAGAGGCACACAAATAAGGATGGCAGTTATCTTATTAGCTGTAATTGAGAGTAACTGTGGTCGGGTATAGACTCTGCTCGCTCTGGGTCATGACTAGCTCCTCTTTAAGTCTTCTTCATTTGAAACTTCAACTGAAATTTCCACCTGACTTTGAGATTCAATGGCCAAAAATCAATGTGGTCTTCCTTTCACAAGTTGTATTATGTTCATTTCTCCATGTGGATGGTGCTTCTATAAGTATCTGGACTTCTATAAGTAGCTGGACTCTGTTCAGTTTCCCAAAGTAAAAATGGAAGAGTCCGCTGGTGTGTGACTTTGGGGCCAGAATCTCCACCAGGGCACAATGACTGCTTGGGCAACAGAATCACAGCCCTGCTCAGAGCAGGAGACCTGGGCTGAACCTCAGAAAGACCTGCAGACTGATGCAGATCTGCAGACCTCATGGCAGCCTGCCGAATTCTAATCTCCTACAGTAGAAACCGTCTTCCCCAGGAATCTACACTTTTAGTGGATGAATTGATTCCATAGAGGATCCTTAGAAATGTGAGATGCTAAGGAAGTCAGATGCAGCCCTTGACCCCAGACTTCTTCTATACCCTCCCAAAGTGGAACCCCAGAAACCAGCTACTCATGTAGGAGGCAGCATCGCATAATGGTGAAGAAGGTTCTCGAGTCAGATGTCCTCGGCTGAAACCAGCTCCTGATTCACTAGCTGTGAGCCCCTGGGCATGCTACTTACCCTCTGCAGCCTCATTTTTTAACCTGAAAATGGGAACAATGGATATTATCTACTGTCTATCATACCTGATGTGAAAAGAGTATAATATAGTGTGGGTAGAGCACTCAGAAAAGAGTCTAACACATAGTAGGTGCTCAATAAATACTAGGAAGCCAAACCTGGGACTCTGGGGGCCTCTCTGGATGACAGGGCTTCCCTTGTGACTCAGCTGGTAAAGAATCCACCTGCAATGCGGGAGATCCGGGTTCAATCCCTGGGTTGGGAAGATTCCCTGGAAAAGGGAAAGGCTCCAGTATTCTGGCCTAGAGAATTCCATGAACTGTATAGTCCATGAGGTCACAAAGAGTCAGACATGACTAAGTGACTTTCACTTTCATTTCTTTTACTTTCACTGGATGAGAAGTCCTTCAGGTTTTGCATTACCATTTAGCTTCCGATGATGATGTGATGTTAGTTGCTCAGTTGTGTCTGACTCTTTGTAACTCCACGGACTAGCAGCCTGCCAGGTTCCTCTGTCCATGGAATTCTCCAGGTAAGAATACTGGAATAGGTTGCCATTCCCTTCTCCAGGGGTTCTTCATTGACCCAGAGATCAAACTCGGGTCTCCTGCGTTGTAGGCAGATTCTTTACCGTCTGAGCTACCAGGAAAGCCCCATCATTTGGCTTCTACTTCTAGCTTTTCTAATCAATGCCAATCACTGAAGAAATTACATGCTCTTAGCTGATGCAGGCCTCCTATGCCTAGAAGGATGCTTGCTCTGGAGGGCTAGCTCTCTGCCCTATGCCAACAAGAGCCATGTTTTTTCCTAACTGCTGTATCTGTGACTTTCTCTGCCTCGTGCAGCATCTTCACTCAGTCCGTAACACCTCCAGACTTTGAAAGCTTCTTTCTCTTAATCCACTGCTATAGCCCAGGCTGGCTGGCTGTCCATTTTCCTCCTAACCTATTATCCATTATAGAAGGTGATCACTTTCATTTACACAGTGATGCTGGGCACTGAAGGAATAACCAAAATGCCCAAAACATGCACCATGGGATGGAGTTGGGCAGCATTTCTTGGCTAACACATTTTACTCTGCAGCTTCAAGACTTGATGCCATTTTATTCTAGATTCTAAACACACGAAGATGTTCTTACATTCAATTGAACATTTTGAAAAAATGACTTACAAGTTTCAAAACTTAATACTTGCTTATCATCATATCTGAAAATCTTGGATAAGACCATCCATCAAATTTCAGGGTAGGTAAGGTGAGGTTTTCTGGTTTTATGTTTTCATTGGTCCAAACAATCCTTGGTAAAGTTTCTTTGAGTAAATTCTGTATCTTTTGGATTCACAAACTCCCCTCAGTGATTTTTCTTCAAAGAAGTCAATGAAGGCAACTGGGAATGTTTAGAGCAGAGGGCTGCCTGGATCCTCATCCAATCTTGGTCCTATTAAATTCTGATCAAACATCTGGAGATCCAGAGTCAGAAGGAGACAAGGATGGAAAGCTATAAGCACAAGCTATAAGCACCCTGTTAATTATTGAAACCTTAAGATTCTCACATGGCTTTCTTTTAAACCACTGCCAGGAGAACCACCCATAGAGTTAATCACCAGCTTTCCCAATAGAATAGGAAATGATTAACTTGATGAGGATATGTCACAGTTTCCTGTTATTAAGTTTCCCTGCCTTTAACCTGTTTTAAAAACAGGCAGTGATCACTGACCCGGTTTTGGCCACCTACATCCAGCCCCCAAACTCTTTGGACATTAATATGATATGATCATAGCTGCCATTTATTGAGCACCTCCTGGGAGTCAGGCACGTTATGATTTGGTTTCCTCTATTTCTCTCGTGGGGAAACACAGTCCCTCATGCAGTGACCTAGTCTCAGGCCTGGATCTGTACCCAGGTCATCTGATGCCAAAGCTCTCACCTGGCACCATGTGGCTTCTCTGCCGCCAAGGCTGGGAGTATCCAGTTCTCCTCTCCGTCTGTGTGCAGGGAGGCCTTCCCTCCCTGTGCCCACAATGCCCACCAGGCAGGAGTTGTGTGTGGTCAGGGCTGTGGCAGAGAAAAAGGGTGGCCTTGCAAGACCCGGATTATGAGCCTAGATCCACCACATTGTGCCTAACAGACCTGGAGAAGATTCTTACATGCACGGGATGGAAATAAAAATACAGTCCTGGCCTTCTGCATAAGGTCTTTGCCAGAATCAAGTGAGATCAAGAACAAGAGGAATCTTCATCAAGAGTCAAGTGCAATGAAAAGGTGAAGTGGTGATAGAAGTGTCACTTAAATTTATGATTTGGTTTCCTCTATTTCTCTCGTGGGGAAACACAGTCCCTCATGCAGTGACCTAGTCTCAGGCCTGGATCTGTACCCAGGTCATCTGATGCCAAAGCTCTCACCTGGCACCATGTGGCTTCTCTGCCGCCAAGGCTGGGAGTATCCAGTTCTCCTCTCTGTCTGTGTGCAGGGAGGCCTTCCCTCCCTGTGCCCACAATGCCCACCAGGCAGGAGTTGTGTGTGGTCAGGGCTGTGGCAGAGAAAAAGGGTGGCCTTGCAAGACCCGGATTATGAGCCTAGATCCACCACATTGTGCCTAACAGACCTGGAGAAGATTCTTACATGCACGGGATGGAAATAAAAATACAGTCCTGGCCTTCTGCATAAGGTCTTTGCCAGAATCAAGTGAGATCAAGAACAAGAGGAATCTTCATCAAGAGTCAAGTGCAATGAAAAGGTGAAGTGGTGATAGAAGTGTCACTTAAACCAGGGGTTTCTAACTCCTTTCTCTGCAGATTTTACCACAGCAACTTAAGTGTGGTGAGCCTGCAGGGCTGCAGGGTGGGATGAGGGTGGGAACTTAGCAAGGAGGCTGCAACTTCTCCAGTCCCTCTCATCACCGATCAGACTCTGGACCCCGGGAGAGAAGCAACCCCCACGACTCAACTTCCTGTCTGCACAAGGGAAGACTTAAACTAACAAGTCCAGGAGTCCTTCCATCTAATTGTTTGCAGTTGATTTAAAATGCAGTTCCTCCTCTTGCATCTCTTCACCCAAAAGACCAGTGGTTCTCAATGTTGGCTGCCTATTAGAATCACCGGGGTAGCTTTTAAACCATACTCCTGGCTGCATCCCAGTCTCTGAGAGCTTGATGTAATTGGTCTAGTGAGAGTCTCACACATCTGTATTTTTAAAAGAGCTCCCAGTTTGATTTTAATGTGCTTCCAGAGTTGAAAAGCACCATTCTCGGAGGGGAAAAAAATGCTCAGAAACAGTAGAAATGGAGGGCAAATGAGGTCTTTGTCCCTTTTCAGGAGGGAGCTCAGGAGGGCCGGAGGGCATCTGTCTTCACACATACTCAGTAAAAGGGAGAACACAGTGACCCTGCCCCCACTTTACAACCACTATGGGGTGCCCATCGTGGACGGCAGCAGACCCAGGCCCCCTGATCTCTTAAGCAGCTCCTTTCTATCATTCTGTCAACAGGACTGGGCTCATTAATAAAGGAGCATAGCAGAAATTAGGGCTTGCCAGGTGGCGCAGTGGTAAAGCATCTGCCTGCCAGTGCAGCCCCTGGAGGAGGACATGGCAACCCCTCCAGTATTCTTGCCTGGAAAATTCCATGGACCGAGGAGCCTGGCGAGCTACAGTCCAGGGGTCTCAAAGAGTTGGACAAGACTGAGCACACACACACGCTCACACAAACACACACACACCAGAAGTCATTTCATCCATCTCTCCTTTAAAAAAAAAAAATTCTTCTGAAAAAAAGTCTCGCATGTCACTTTCTTAAGTTGCTGTCTGTGTCATTTTGGAAATGGCCTCAGTCAATGACTTGCAAGAAGCATATTCCCATGAGAAAACTTCAGGATGTACAGGCAGAGCCTCCTCCCTGGGGTCCAAGAACTTTGCCTTAAGGCCCTTTATACACTAGAAGCAGCTGCAGCAGACCCAGAATCCTACTGAAACCAGACGAATGCACTGCAGGGAGGGGTGGTAAAGACCGAGGACCCTCGAGTGCCTAACAGCCACCCTTGCCCCTGGGGCTGTTTGCTGAGTGTTGCTAATGTTTGAAAACCTCTGCACCTCCTGTGGATCCGCACAGCCCCCCTCCTGTAATCAGCTTCGGGAGGCACGCAGGGGATTATCCTCCAGCCGCCAGCTGCCCTCTCCATAAGTAAACCTCTACACAGTAAGCGTTTCAGGGGCTGCTCCCAGTCAGCTCTGTTCCATCATCTGCTAGCTCTCCTGTTTGTTAACAGCAAAGCAAAATGACAGGAAGCATGTGTAGGAAAAGGGCTGGCAGGAGAAACTCCAGGCTGGGACCTATGGTGCTACTGAGTGCAGGGATTATGGGTGATTCGCATTTCCTCCCTCTTATTTGTATGTTCTAATTTTTCTTAGATGAACAAGCAATTTAGTTGGAAGGAGAACGTTCTTTTTAAAACACAATAATTTATGTAGTGTTCAACTGGTCTTCGGGAGGGTTCAAATGTCCCATTTACAGGATTGGAAATTCTTGGTAGATCTGAATTAGGAGGGGTTGAGATGGCCAACTGCATTTAATCATCATCTAAATTCATGTATTTTTTATGATCCAGATGGGAACATTTGAAATTTTATGTCACTTTTCTTTTTTCACACTTGATCTATAGGTGAGAGAATCATTCCTGAGCCAGTTCACCCCAAAGAGCTGAGAGTCTTCAAAGGATTGTGGGTGAGAGACGTGGGGAGCATTTCAGGGGCCTTGGCATCTGGCCTGTTGGCTGATCTCCCCAGTGAGTGGCCTGCTTTGCCCTGTTGGTCAGGACAGTGTCCAGAGGACAGATGAGGTGTGAGGGAGGAGGTGTGGACTGCCCCACGCCCAGGTAAGCTTGCCCGACATTACCGGAGACATAACGCTAAAACATTATCCACTGTTTATCTGAAATTCAGATTGAACTGGGCATCTAGTCATTTTATTTGTTAAATCTAGCCACTCTTGGCCTGGGGGTTCCTCTTCTCCACCACCCACTCCCCAGGTTATAGCCAAACCACAGCCACAAGGATGGCCTGGACCCACCTCCACCTTTCCCTCCACCCCCCTCTTTCCCATGTTCCTCCCTGAGGCCACCAAGACCTCCTCTCCACTCCACGGTCACCATCAGACCACTCACCTTTTTCACATCTGGAACATTAAAGGTTTTCTTCGTGTGAGCAACCCAACCCACTATCCCGACGTCCAACGGAAACACAGCTTCCCTGTCGGGGACCACCAGGTTGTCCTCAAACTTGGAGGTGGGGGTGACGTCGAGCAGCTTGGAGGCCACCTCCGGCGTGCCGTTGCGGGCCCGACACAAGAACATGCTGCAGCGGTCGGCCTGCAGCAGCTGCGCCAGCCTCCCCAGGGCCCTGTGCACCGCCAGCTCCACGCTGCCCGCCTCCTCCAGCAAGACCTCCAGTAGCTCCAGGTACAGGGCTGCCTCCTCCGCCAGCGTCCGGCCGGGGAAGGAGGCGCTGGCCGGGGCCTGTGCCCCGCCGCTGGGCGCCTCCGCCTGCAACTTCCTGTTGAAATACTCCTTGGCGAACTGAGGGTTGTCCTCCAGGTATTTCTCCACCGTCTCTTGGCTGATCTCACCCATGGCGTGGCGTGCTGTTCTGGTCTAGAGAGGAAGAGACCCTCAGAACACCACCAGAGGCAGAGTGCCAAGAAGGAGTTACATCCTGGCCAAAGAAACCAGGGAAGCCCCAAGGGGCACCTCGCAGGACACCCCCCCCTCCCCAGAGGCCGAGGAGAAAGGTTGTTTAGCCGAGCTTTCAAACTGGCCTGTAACTCTTGAGATGTGACAGAAGGCCCTGGCTTAGAGTGGGATTCGGGAAGCATGGGATTAAAGAGTTCTTCAGGACACGAAATCCCTAAGCATTATTAGCTCATAAGTCCTCAGAGAATCCGCAGAGGATATTAGATCAGCCAGCCAAGTGACAAGTCAAACTGACTATTCCAGAAAATAGCTGAACCTTGGTGGCTGTTGGCAATAAGAAGAATGGGGGATATCCATTAATTATATTACATAGGCATCGACAATACTTGTTCTTTCATGATAGCTCTATGAAATGAAACTGTTCAGACCTCAGAAATGTCTGTTTATTTATATGGCAACGTTAAGGAACCTTTAGGGGAGATCAAAGAGTTTAGCATAACACAACATAAAATCAAATGTTAATCTTTCCTTTCCTTAAAAGTCTTGTAATCGGCCAGCTTGCTTGGCCTACTCTTTTTCTAAAATCCTCACCTCTCCGTTCCCCTCATTTAAAAACCTGACCTCAGAAATGGTTTATGGGAACAGACCTTGGGCTTATTCTAGAGAAGTGAACATGGAAAAATATTTGCCCACAATTTAAGCCTGATCAAGCCACAACTTATATTAATACAATAATCCTTGTCAAAAGACACGATCATAAAAGGCAACCCCTGCAGCTGCCAACTGGGTTTTCCTGCTAAGCATATTAGTTTGGATTTTGTTTTCAATAGTAATAACCAGATCTCATGCCTTTTTGCTCCAAGGTACAGTCAGTTAAATCTGCTGGATAATACATGTCTTGTCTGTTGCTAGGATCTTTCACACCTCAGGGCCTTTTGGCATAGAAAAAACACTTAACCACTACTTACTTTTGTTTAATGTTCAGGTTACTAAGCTTTTACATTGATTAAGCACATTTTCCCAAATATTTAAATACTATTATGCAACTAATAAGCCAAACTACACATTTCATGAACCAGTTTCCTTGGCTATCTACAGGCTGACTTCAAATTTAGTCAAAGGTCTTTTAAGCATTTCAATAACACTGCAAGCTTTATATGGAGAATTCTCTTGAATGAAAACATATCTAAGAGTTACAGTGACTCTAAAAGTTAGTTACACCCACATTTAAATCCACTTCAAAAACAGCATGGCTTTGGGTTTCATTTATTTTTCTAGACTTAAAGTTTACCTTGCTAGGGTGATAATGGTCATATTAGATAGAAAAGAAGAAGAGATTCACTGAGGCTGCAGTTTCTAGATCATGAAATGAGAGACTGTTGATGGGAACATGGTTTTCCCAGGCAAACAGAATACACACTGGCATTTGTTGAGCCATGTCACTTCCTATGGTTGAGTCCACTTGCTCCCTCAAAGGGTCTTGTCAAGCACTTTCTTTCGTCTCCCTCCATCAGGCCCAAGGCCAGTCTCAGGATGGTCCTCCTAAGAATATTATTTATTTCATAATATCCTATTAGCATCTCATTATAATTAGAGCAACATAGGGGAATCCCCTGGTGTTCCAATGGTTAAGACTCTGAGCTTCCAATGCAGGGAGCATGGGTTCAATCCCTGGCTGGGGAACTAAGATTCCACATGCTACACAGTGAGGCCAAAAAAATTTTTATAAGATATATATATGTGTGTGTGTGTGTGTGTGTATGCTTTTCAAAAAAGAGAATAATGCAGAGGTTTATTTCCTAAGAGAAAGGAGTTGGGTCAGCTGAGTCACTCCTATGGGACTACCATCCATCTTCCTGTAACACAGGCGAGGGCACTCTTTCTCCCTGGTTGTTCCATGAGATGACTGCAGTTCCTACTTCTCTCGAAAGCATGTGTATGCTTACAATTCCCTGATACCATCCTTCCCTCTTTACATGGACACACAGAGAAAACACATATCCATATCCCATACACAGATTTATACTTCAGAGGCATAAATCTGTGTATGGGAAAAACAAAATGCTCATATATGTTTACATTCCCCTACTTGTAAAATATGAAAATGAATTTAAAATGAAGCATATTCTATCACAGTCAGCATTCTTATGTTTTGATGACTACATCTAGGTTCATTCATTTGCTTATTCTTCCAACACATGTCTATTGGTGGCCCATGATAAGCAAGACATACACTAGCTCCTATGGTAGAGACTCCATGTTCCTCTTTTTCTGATTCTCCTCCCCTGCTAATTGTATGGGAAGATTATTCCTCTTTGCCCTCCACCCCCAGTAGAGCCATGTGACTAATTCTGGCCTATGGGTTGTGAGCTTAAACCTCTCTTCCAGGCAGGAGCAATCAATTGCCACAGTGAGGCTCAAGAGCCCCCGCTTCTCCCTGCTCCCTTCCAGATCCAGCTGGAGGGGCCTCATGGATCCCAGTGAGGATGTCATGGAACAGAGCCCCCTGCTGACCTGAGATGGACATGTAGCGTGAGTGAGAAATAAATCTTGTGTTCAGCCCTTGAGACGTGAATGTTGTTTGTTACCACGGCATAACCGAATCAATCCTGTTACACTTCTACTTCAGGGAATATAGGGGATAAATAAGCCTTGGTTCCAGCTTTACAAGAACTTGTGGTGCAGTAAAGGAGATAAGACTAGAACATAAAAAGTTACGACGTGGGACTTTCCTGGTGGTCCAATGGCTCCTGATGCAGGGGGCCCAGGTTCGACCCCTGGTCAGGAAACTAGACCCCCCCGCATACCACAACTAAAAAAGATTCTGCATGCCACAACAAGGATTCCATGTGCAGCAACGAAGATGCCTTGTGCCCAAACTAAGACCTGGTGCAACGAAATAAATTTTTAAGAAAACCATGAAGCACAGAGCATAATAGAATTAAAAGCCAGAAGTGAAGTACATACATATGACTATGAGACTTTATGTGATATGGATATGGAATCATATTTAGAGTAGATGGAAATAGAGAAGAAATCCAAGTGTGAGCCAGTGGGTGGTAATGGCAGAAGCAACAGCATGTAGTACAGAGTAACAGGGGGACTAATGAGAGAGAAACTAGAAAGGTATGAGTGGGCCCAGATTACTGGGGCCTCAAAGTCTAGCTGGGGATTCTGAACCCTGGAAACTCTTAGTGGTAAGAAATGACGTTAAAGTTCATCTCCACAAGATCTCTTCAAGAAAATTAGAGATACCAAGGGAACATTTCATGCAAAGATGAGCACAATAAAGAACAGAAATGGTATGAACCTAACAGAAGCAGAAGATATTAAAAACAGGTAGCAAGAATATACAGAACAACTATACAAAAAAGTTCTTGACCCAGATATTCATGACCCAGATAACCATGATGGTGTGATCACTCACCCAGAGCCAGACATCCTGGAATGCAAAGTCAAGTGGGCCTTACGAAGCATCACTAAACAAAGCTAGTGGAGGTGATGGAATTCCAGTTGAGCTATTTCAAATCCTAAAAGGTGATGCTGTGAAAGTGCTGCACTCAATATGCCAGCAAATTTGGAAAACTCAGCAGTGGCCACAGGACTGGAAAAGGTCAATTTTCATTCCATTCCCAAAGAAAGGCAATGCCAAAGAATGTTCAAACTACCACACAATTACACTCATCTCACACGCTAGCAAAGTAATGCTCAAAATTCTCCAAGCCAGGTTTAACAATATGTGAACAGTGAACTTCCAGATGTTCAAGCTGGATTTAGAAAAGGCAGAGGAACCAGAGATCAAATTTCCAACACCCATTGGATTATCGTAAAAGCAAGAGAATTCCAGAAAAAAATCTACTTCTGCTTTACTGACTATGCCAAAGCCTTTGACTGTGTGGGTCACAAAAAACTGTGGAAAATTCTTAAAGAGATGGGAATACCAGACCACCTGACCTGCCTCCTAAGAAATCTGTATGCAGGTGAAGAAGCAACTGTTAGAACTGGACATGGAACAATAGACTGGTCCCAAATCAGGAAAAGAGTACGTCAAGGCTGTATATTGTCACCCTGCTTATTTAACTTATGTGAGCAGTACATCATGAGAACTGCTAGGCTGGATGAAGCACAAGCTGGAATCAAGATTGCTGGGAAAAATACCAATAACCTCAGATATGCAGATGACACCACCCTTATGGCAGAAAGTGAAGAACTAAAGAGCCTCTTGATGAAAGTGAAAGAGGAGAGTGAAAAAGTTGGCTTAAAACTCAACATTCAGAAAACTAAGATCATGGCATCCAGTCCCATCACTTCATGGCAAATAGATGGGGAAACAATGGAAACAGTGACAGATTTTCTTTTGGGGGCTCCAGAATCACTGCAGATAGTGACTGCAGAAATTTTCTCCTTGGAAGAAAAGCTATGACAAACCTAGACAGCATATTAAAAATCAGAGACATTACTTTGCCAACAAAGGTCCACCTAGTCAAAGCTATGGTTTTTCCAGTAGTCATGTATGGATGTGAGAGTTAGACTATAAAGAAAGCTGAGTGCCGAAGAATTGATGTTTTTGAACTGTGGTGTTGGAGAAGACTCTTGAGAGTCCCTTGGACTGCAAGGAGATCCAACCAGTCCATCCTAAAGGAAATCAGTCCTGAATATTCATTGGAAGGACTGATACTGAAGCTGAAACTTCAATACTTTGGCCACCTGATGCCAAGAACGGACTCATTGGAAAAGACCCTGATGCTGGGAAAGATTGAGGGCAGGAAGAGAAGGGGATGATAGAGGATGAGATGGTTGGATGGCATCACTGACTTGATGGACATGAGTCTGAGTAAGCTCCAGGAGTTTGTGATGGACAGGGAAGCCTGGCATGCTGCAGTCCATGGGGTCACAAAGAGTCAGACACGACTGAGCGACTGAACTGGACTGAAAAAGGTGAATTGGAGAAAAGAAATACTAGACATTAGGATACAGATTAAGAAGCTATACTGCATTTGGCTCATTATCAAGTATCCTAAAAATGTGTACAAGCTTTGACCCTGCAATTCAACTTTTATGAATTTATCTTACAAAAGTAATTAAGGATGTATATGGTTAATGTAGTTATATGGGCGTACACCAAAAGCACAATTATAAAAGGAAAAGATTAGAAATAGCCTAGATATTCAGTAATATGAGGTTGAGTAAATAAATGGCATTATAATCATAAAATAGGAAACCATATATTAATGAGTAATCCTATTGTAAAGCTCTATTTACTGATATGGACAGATATTTATGATGTGCAGTAAATTGCAAGATCCTATTGCAGTATGATTCCACATACACATAAAAATATATGGAGGTGTACATAAGAAATGTTAACAGTAATTATTCCAAAGTGGTGGAATTCAATATAAATTTTTTTTTCTCTTTTGCTTACCTGATTTTTCTAAAGTATCTACAATGATATTAAAGAAATTAATTCATTCACAAACAAAGCTTTTAAGGCTATTCTCAAATGCTACAGGTGAGGGTGCTTGGGAATGAAGGAAGGGACAAATGTGAGACAATTTCAGGCAACAATTGACAGGATGAGGGAATGGGTTAGTTAGAAAAGGCAAGTGAGAAAGAGGGATCCCTGCTGACTACTTTGAGTAGTGGATGACATTTGATAAAGACAAAGTTTTTTTAAGGAAATATTGGAAGCTGACCTTTGAGTAGACATGCAAATATCCTTCTCCTCCTCCATGTCCTTCACTGCATCCTGTCATTCCTGCTGCTCTTTTTCTGGGGCTGATCCCTATATAGTCTCTGGCCTGTGCCGACAAGACTTTTGAGTATCTGTCCTAGGCACTGGAAAAAATAAAATTTAAGAAAATGTAATAGTTTTAAATGACCAAGCAGAGCACTTAGAATAAATTTTTAATGTTACAAAGTAATTGCTGATTTTGTTAAACTTCACCATTTGTGTCACTGTTTCCAGTTTGTTTAAAATGTAATTAAAAAAAAAAAAACTAGAACATTAACTGGTGGGAAGAATGAGGAAAAAAAGGCCAATATCTGAGATAGTACAGACATTGACAATTATGTTTAAATAAAGCATCTCTGACACAGTAACTAGGTTGGTATGGAAACTCTATTCCATTTACACAGAATATTTTTAGAAAGATAAGCCACAGGTAGTAATAAAGTGACCATAAAAATAACTAACACTATAATAAATAATCTGTGCCAGATACCTTTCTAAAACCCTTATTTACATATTTCATTTCATTCTAACAACAATCTTATGAAGAGGATAACAATAACCTTATGGAGAGAATAACCTTATGAAGAGGATATCTTCACAACAATAATCTTATGAAGAGGATACTATAATATTTTACAGGTGACAAATTGAAGCATAAAGAAATAAAGTTGCTCAAGGTCACATAGCTAGTGATGGTGACCAACCCCAAACTAAGAATTCAAATAGGAATGAATTTTAAAATGCACCCATGAAGTGTACCATAGCTGCTATAGGGGAATACACAGGAATTTTTCTTTAAGGAATTTAAAATCTAGACCTATATCACACCTATATCATAAAATGTTAAACACCAATACAAGAATTAAATGAAAATTCCACTTAACAAATTTACATTTTTCAATAGTATACTACATTCATGAACACATACAATATTTAATTGCATCATCGCTAAAA